TGATAAAGAAGAAGAAWAWRAKATWTATWKATRKAYATATATATATATATATATATGTAAAGAAGAAATCAAGTGATGGAGAGACCGAAAAAAGTTTACCTGTTTTTTTTTTTTTTTTTGTTGAATAATAATGGTTTGTAAAATAAAGAATACTTCAAATGATAGAGAAGAAGAAAAGGAGATTTATTGATGGACAATTCATAGAGGAGCACATGGAAGGATTTGGAGGTTTCACCTCCAAGAATGAAGATGAAAAGGTTTAAAAATTATCAAAAATGAAGATGAAAAGATAACTTTTAAAAATTATCAAAACAACTTTATACTGATGAATTTCATGTTTTAAATATAGGAACGGGAAAGTCTTTTACATATATCAAATATTTAAAAAAAAATTTAATCTAAGAAAAAAGAATGATAGGTTTCTAATGTTTCGAGGATGACACCTTATTATGTTTGGTTTCTACTTTAATAAATAAAAATATTAGAAAATAATTTTCAAGCCCAATGCTAAAGAAGGAAAAAAATCGCAATAGACCGATCAACATCAATGTCTTAAAAATCATATGAAAGATTACCGATCTTAAAAAATCATAAACCATCTTTCTTGATACACTCTTCTAGCATCAATGCAAAAATATTATAGCATAATGTTTATCAAGTTTATGGATAAACAAACAAAAAAATACTTATTTTTATGTTCTACATATGCTTAAAAAATGTTATATTATTTCATGAATGATTCATATATCACTTTATCCACACAAAAAATGATTCATATGCTTGCATAATTCCAATTCTAGTGTGAATATCTCCAATTAAAAACGAAGTACTATACTTACATCAACAAAAACTCATATCATATATGTCTTCTTGAATGACACCTCAAATCAATAAAAATGCAAATCACCTCCACAAAAATTAAACAGAGGAAGAATTAAGAGATTAAGAGAGATTGTTATGCTTAAACAATGTTACCTTATTTCATCAAGGATTCATATGCCACTTTATCAACACAAAAAATATTCATATGCCTACATAATTTCAGCTTTAGTGTGAATGTCTTTGATTAAAAGACGAAATACTATACTTACATAATCAAAAACTTACCATGATTTGTCTTATTGAATGACGCCTCAAATCAACAAAAATACAAATCGCCTCCACAAAATTATAAATGAGTAGAGATGAAGAATTGAGAGATTAATAGATAAATTATCATAGAGTTATACCATGAAGAGAAGATGAAAAATTATAACCGAAAAGAGAGAAATAATGAGAGTTAAAGATCAATTATTAGAGGGAATATGAGTAGGTAAGAAAAGGAGAGAAAATATAAAGCATTTTCTAGCTTTGAGAAGAGGCCACGTCATTACACGTGGTTTCTTCTTTAATATATATATATAGATTGGTCATTGGTCACGTTAAGGGGCTGTTTACTTAAACAATTACCCGGTAAATACTTATCTGGCAAGCACTTACTGGTAAAATTCAACATTATCATTTACTTACAAGGTAAGATTTTATTCACTAAAACGCATCGTATGCAATAATTTATCCAGGTAAGTGTTAACCATGGTAAGAGTCATCGTCCTCACTTACTAGGTAAGACTCTCGATTTGTCCCTTCGCTCTTACCGGGTAAAATTTTTAGTCTTTGTCATATTCATCCGGTAAAGTAAAAGTGATTTAGTAAGCGTTTATCCGGATAGACGTTTGGTAAAACGACACCTAACTCTCTTAAAAGTTGTCCGTTAAGAACGGTTGTTTGATGACCTCGACGTGAAACTCGACAACCCTGATAAGTGGCTTACTTTTATTGGAAGATATTATTTGGATTTTGAAAATGATGTGTTTTGGAAATATGTCGTTTTAAAATACAAACATTCTTTCAATTGTGAAAATTGTCACTTAGAACATTTTTTTTTTCAGTTTTTTATTTTTGTTATTGGCAATATAAAACATTTGAACTCACTAGGCTTTCATCTTAACACTTTTTTTTATCGACATGCGAATCAGGTGGGGACGATACAAGAGACACTTGAGAAGAGTTGATTGCTACTTAGAGAATCGTGAAAGACTTAGCTCTTTGGACTCATCTCGTATCGTTTTGGAGAAAGTGACTATGGGTTTTCGTAATTCATTGATGTAAATCCTTAAATTCATTGCTTCGGTCCTTGTCATGAATCAGAGCTCTAAATCGGTACTTGAACTCAACCCCTAAAATTAAATTCAGCATCTTCAAGAAACAAGAAGCTTTATAGTTGTGCCATCGATGAACATAACCCTCATCTTCCCTCCTCTCTGTAAATCGATAAATCGATTTTGAACCGTCACTCACCTCTACCATCGATGAGAGCCTAATTTCATTGTGAACATCCAACACCCTAATTTCATTGTAATCAATTACCAAATAATTATATTTCATTTTGCACTATATCATTAAGTATCTTAATCATTCTGACCATTTAATCATTTTGCACAAAAAATTCAGCAACTGTCAAACAGTTCATAAGTTATTAAAATTAGAGTAATGGCTCTGATTCGAAACTGAAACTACAATAATAATATTTGTAATTAATTTGTTTGAGGGACTCAATCTAAAATTTTGATATAACTATATGGACTAAATCTGTAATTTACTCTATTTTTAGTGATTTGAATTTCGAATTATTTATTTATAAAAATTCCTTAAATTTCACCGTCTACCCTAAAATATTTTGGTGAGTGAATCCCAATGGCGCACGTGCGCTCCATATATCATGATTTGACGCGCCTTATGCGTGACGGCGAACACACACACACACACCACAAAACCCTCGCTCTTCCATTGCCTCGACGGCGATTTATCAGGTTCAAATTCTCTCATAATCTCTTCAAAATCTCATTGAATCACAATCTTCGAAGGATTTATCTTGTTCGTTAATGGTGGAATCTTAATTTGAAGTTTTTGGCAATTTTGTTTTCAGATCTTCAGCCGCATTGCAGATCTAGGGTTTTATTAGGGTTTCGGTTCTGATGGCAACGCCGTTTCACTTACCTGTCACCGCTGCTCAGGTTTACTTCTGCTCCACCTCTGTGTATCGGTATGTATATGTAAAGGCAGTTGTTTATTAGGGTTTTGGTGTTTTTAGGTTGGGACGTACTTCGTTGGGCATTATTATCAGGTGCTTCAGACGCAGCCTGATTTCGTTCACCAGTTTTACAGCGATAGGAGCACGTTGCTTCGTGTTGATGGTCCCTCCAGAGAGACCGCCACCTCAATGCTGGTAATATTTCGATTCCCCTTTGTAGTCTGTACTTAAGCTCTTGTTTCGTGTATTCTAAATTCTCAAGATGGAAGTATCAAAGTAATCATTAGATGTTGATTTCATACCACTAGATAATTTGCACATCCACATGAAGTCTGCGTTACTTACAGTCTTACACTCACCACTGGAATCTGTATGCAAAATCAAAAGATTCAAGCATTATTTGATATGCTTACAATTTCGGAACAAACCATTTGAAATGATGTTACCCTTCAAACATATATTAGGTAGCTAGATATTAATTCATAGAAATAGATTAGCCTGCTTGTTTGATTTGTCAGTGGCATTCAGTCCATTTGTTATCACAAAAATCATGAATATTGTTGCTTTAATCATCGATTATAAGGTTTGAGGATGCTTTCACAAGTTCCCTTATTAGTCTTTCCTTACATCTGGTGTCGAATTTTACATGCCTCTATGTTGGTTTGTGCTGCAATCTCTACATATTAGTTAGACATGCCATGTTAGTTGATTGTTGGTTTTTAATTACTATCTTTGGCTAGTTGGAAAAAAGCCCACCATAATGCAACTGCGGAGTGCCAGGGTTCAAGTTTATATAGTAATTATTCTGACTATGTAACAGATGCGATTCTACATCATGTTTGTAACTCTTTATGTTTCAACCTTCAATATTGCAGCAAATCCATGCGCTTGTCATGTCTCTCAATTATACCGGAATAGAAATCAAAACAGTGCACTCCCTCGAATCTTGGGACAGAGGTGTCCTTGTATTGGTTTCGGGTTCGGTGCATATAAAAGATTTCAGTGGCAGGAGGAATTTTGTGCAGACATTTTTCCTTGCACCCCAGGAGAAAGGCTACTTCGTCCTGAATGATATCTTTCACTTTATTGAGGATCAGCCAATTCACCATCATCCTGTTGCTTATTTGACTCAAAACGATCTTGTATCCAAATTGAATGGCTCTACTGCTCTCCGGGATCAAGGTATTTTGACTGATTCTGTTGCATTAACCATGTATCATTAACGTTGCCTTCTTTTTTGAGCAATGAAATTTATATAACTTACAAATGCTAAATCATGCACTGTAGGCATTAATGTTGTTTCAAGTTAAATACGCGTTGTTGGTTTAAACATGTGAAGAGATAAGGTGTAGAATTTTGATGAGCAACATGAGCTTATTTATGCATTAACAGTTTAACACTAGACATGGATAGGGAAAGCCAATTAATGTATATACTTTTGCTGGATCAAATATTTGTTATATGTATCGTGGGCAATATTATGTTGTTTCTTTGTCATGTTAATAAATTTTGGTTGCAAAAATGGCTTATTCAGCATCAAGCTACATGGCAGCAAATGATATCCAGGCCAGGGATTTTGTGCCGCCAACCACAGCTGAAGAAAATGGTCCTGTGAATAATTACAGCTACCAAGAGCAACAGTTGCGAGCCCCCGAGGCTGAAAGCATTCTTGAAGACAACTATGCTGTGCAGTCAAATGGCTCAGTCCAAAATTCAGTGAATGCACCACAGGATCATCTGGCTCCTGTTGAAGAAGCTGTGGGAGAGCCCCAAAAGCATACTTACGCTTCTATTGTATGCATTTGAACTTTTCCGGTTGCTATAATTAACACATTTTCATATGTGATGGTCCTTAAACTGACTTTTGTCATTGTTGTTTCTGGAAGTTGCAAGTTGCCAAAGTGCAATCTGCACCATCAGCACAGCCTGTAACGAAGAGTACAGCCCATCCAGATATGAATCATGTTCCAGAACCCCCTGCACAGCAGTCGGCTTCTCTGTCGACTGGTGAAAGATCTGGAGCTGAGGCTGTGGAGGACACATCTGTCATGGAAGACGAAGGTACCTTTCTATAATTTTTCTCTACTCATTACTCAGTTCTGATGCATTGGAGGCCGTATTCTTAGCAAAGAAAAATGACCCTTCATAACTGTGATAATGGATGCAGTTATGAGTTACCTTGTTCCTTTGTATATCTGTTCTTTATGTAGAATTTTCGTGCATCCTTCCCCTTCTTCATTAGCTTATAGATGTATTTACAATTCTATCTGGGCTGATTTTTAATTACTTGTATATTATCTTGCTAGCTGAGGTGAAGTCTGTCTATGTGAGAAATGTGCCGTCCACGGCTATTGCTTCTGATATTGAGGAGGAGTTCATGAAATTTGGTAAGATCAGGCAAGATGGTGTTGCCATCAGAACCAGAAAGGTTAGTTCTTTTGACATATTGATGACAACTTGCTTTTTTTTGTCTAAGAGATACAATTATGAGCAAATTATATGGATGCAGGATATTGATGTGTGCTATGCATTTGTTGAGTTTGAAGACATCACTGGTGTTCAAAATGCTATTAAGGTGTGGCTTTGTATTATTATGATTTGGAAATTAGAACTACTGCTGTGTGGATTGCCTCTTCCTATATATATGCTTATTCATCACATTTGACCATTTTCTTTTCCTCAAATGTCACTTGAGACCATTAGCTTCCAAATGGCGTTTTCCGAATGAAGGGAACTAACCCCCCCCCCCCAAAAAAAATTAGAAAAGACGATGGTATATGCATATCATACCTGGATATTTACAAAAAGCCATCAAAATACTAGCACTTGAACATTAAATGTCATGATACGGGCCAAAAATTATAAAAATACAAGTAAGAAGGAACTAGTGTAGAAAAACTGTCAATGGTCTTCTATCTTGCACGTTTATCCTAGAAATCCTAATCCAAGGACTCTCATAGATATGCATCTTTTACCTTTATATTGTGTTTGGAAGTGCACACATCACCCTTTGCTTCTTCCATAGTAGAATAATCATTGTGTATGATAACCCGAAAATGAAATTATTTAGTATGTTGAGTAATTTTTTCATGTCCATACTTAAACATTGTTGACAAAATACGATCAATTTTGTAGGCATCTACTGCTGAGATTGCTGGGCAGCAGGTACACATTGAAGGGAGGCGACCAAATAGAAGCAATGCATACCGAGGTGGAAGTATGTATCCTATACCTTTAAAAAATTGACCAATTTATGAGAAGCTTTTGTTCAATTATCAATCGATCATTGCATTCATATCTTAGAACATCTTCAACAGATCGCAGAATAGAGAAGCAATAAAATCTTCCCGAAAAAATTGTATTCAACTCCAATAGTTTATCTGGACCAATACTTTCATATAAAGTTTATATGAATGATAATAGATTCAATCTCATTGGTGGAAACAACTAGAAACATTTCCCTATCATCGTCATATAACCAAATTTGGAGATTTTCACCCTCTCTCCATTTTGGAGGATCTGTTGACGGAAAAAACTAAGTTAAAACTCCACAACATTGACTTATCTCCATTTTGAAGAATCTGTTGGAGTTGCTCTTATAGTTTATGTGTGCCAAGTGGCAACTGCCAACTGGACGCTTTTGTTCATCGATACCATTGCTCGTGTTTACTTTGTGAAAATTTGTTTTGTCGGTGACACGGCCAACTGTCTTAACCACGATAGATTTACGTCCTGCAGGAGGAAGAGGTAGAGGTAGGGTTAGCAACCAAATGGATGGAAGAGGGCGTTTTGGAGGCCGAAACTATGGCAGCAGAGGAAATGGCCAAGATGGGAACGATCGTGATTACAATCGACCAAGAGGCAATGGCTACTATCGTCAAGCACCACGTCAAGACCGAGCGTATTCCAACTCCCAGCAGGCATCTAGAAACGGTCACAGCATATCAGATTGAGGCCCATCGGAACACTTTTTGGTTGTGTTTTCCCCCTAGCATTACAGTGTTGGAAGAAAGCAACATATATCGAGGCTTTTTTTTAGTTTGTTTTCCCTGGGCATTTGCATCTCGACATATTTACTTTCGGGTGCTCCTTGGTTAAATTTTTGATCTACAGAAACAATATTGAAGTGTTGAAGGTTTATCAAGTTTTGGGTCTTTCACCATCAATCGGTTTTTCCTTCGTTGTGTTTTATACTAGAGGTACAGGAGCTCGTTAGTCATTACGTGAGACGGGTTCTTATTAACTCCGAAGTTCCATATTGACGATATGCTCGATGAAGTTTGTCCCATATTGGGATCGGCTTTGATGTTATTTGTAATGCCCCGTAACTTTGAGCTTGTAAAGAGCTCATAAATCTAATTTTCTATCCATATTGAAACCCTCGTGCTTTGTTACATATATCAATAGAAGAAAAGAAAACAGAATACAAGCCGACAACATATTGGTCGAGTCTCGACCTTATAACACGTAAACTTGGCAATTCTGCATTTCCGATGCATGGTTATACAATCGGTTATCTCATGCTTTGTTGTCTGTTGAAAGCGAAGTAAAAGCTAAATGTCTTTAGAAGTCCCGGGTCACGGACCAGCGACCCCTAAAGAAGTGGTAGGCCGAGTTATTCGTCACCGTCTTCACCCTCTACTTCCCATAGAAACTTGGCATATGCAGCAAGAACATGACTGAAACACAAAATAGAAAGAGACAACTTGAAGACGAAATTGTAGAAAAGTGACGTCGGAAAAGGAGAAATGAGAAACGGCACCTGTTGGCTGGAGCAGCTTCAACCGCTCGCTCAAAGTAACTAGCGGCTTTGTGTTGATCGCGATGAAGTTCCCACACCAATTGAGCGTATTCTGAAATTACCTCGCCGTCCTCACCATCCGCTTGTATTGCACGTGAGTAATACTCTTCGGCTCCTTCAAGGTCTCCCTTGGTCTGTCATCCGATATAATACATAATTTGTAAATGCACTAAATGAATCCTACAACCTTAGGTATGTTTGGTATGTTGTACCATGTTTGGCATGACATTAGACTGAGACATGGTGCTGACTGCTGAGTAAGATAAATAAAAATGCATTTTTTACAGTCCCACCAAAACTAGTAAACTACTAAACTACTTATGTCAAATTAAAACCTTAAAACCTTTTAGAATTCTTTCACCTGACTATCTCACTCTCACATGTCTAGTTCCATCTACATACCGAAAGATATATTTGGGTTATGCAAGATCCATAACCTGTTGAAGATAGCGGGCGTAGTTGCTAAGAAGCAAAGAATCACCGCGGTTTTTGTTAACCATGCTCTTGTAATATTCCTCGACAGCTTCAACTCCAAGGATTCCCGGTCTTTCTTCTACCTCCAAAGATTGCTCGAATACCAAACCAAACGAACCCAGTAAATCCCATACAGGTAAATCTAAAAGTAAGATGTGTGCAGATCTTTCCTCTAACCCAGTAAAGATTCATGAGATGCACTCACATTTTCATTCACATCCATTCGATTATCATTTAAGCATAAACCCTAGAGTTTTTTCATGCTCAATCACAGAAACAATGACGCGTAAGGACTCTACCTCAACAAGTGTAGTCGCTTCATCATTCTCTTCGTCTTCATCTATTTCCCACAGAAAACTTGCATATGCTGCAAGAACGTTACTGTAAAAGGGGTGTGAGTTTATTTGTTGCATTTGCCGTATATAAATATTATATACTTCAAGAAAGAAACATTAACGCACACAGTATATACATGAATCAAACTGTATGCCATTTTCAAGACACATAAAGAACTCCATCCTATCCATGATCCATACGAAATTGAGCACAATTTTGTCTTCGTGGTGGCCTTGATTTTACTCAAACCGAACCTTCACAGCAAAACACTAACAATGTTTACCTTCTAAGTGCTTCGTTGTGAAGGTTCAATGTTATTTGTGTGGTCTCACGAGTCTTACGAAAACCGGTTGGTTAAACATGATCCCAAGTCATATACTTACGCAGGCAAAAAGGTAAAAACTGTGGGTGCTTTTTCGTTAAGCTTATATGGCCAATAAGCTTTCAAAATAAGCACCATTGTGGATGCAGACACTAAAAGTAAGGTGTGTGTGGACAAAACAAGTCACCAGTCTTGAGGAGCGGCATGAACAGCCCTCTCTAAATAAGCCGAGGCTCTATTTTTGTCACCATGAAGCTCCCATACCAACTTAGCATATTGCATTAGAGATTCCCCGTCGTTAGCATCTGTCTGTGTAACGCGCAAGTAGTATTCCTCAGCTCCGTTAAGATCTCCGTTCGACTGTCATGCCAAATCAAATTTAATTGCATTCAATCACTTGATGATAGCTTCTAGTAACATAAGTACCCACATGCATTTCTGTACTTCTATAGGATTCCCATATGCCATTCTTTCTGTACTTGGACTCGAATGAAATAAACCAATCAAAACAAAACAGACCCAGTATATCCCACAGGAGGTACTTGTGGGGTCTGGAGGATGGGATGTAAGCAGACTTGACCCCTGTCTCTATCTCAAAAGGTAGAGCGACTGACTAAATGCTCTACTTGGCATGTTAGTATTTCGTTTGTTGTTCTCAGCTTTTCCTTTTGAATCTTGATAGGAGGTTCATATATATATATATATATATATATATATATATAGGGGCAGATTCAAATGAGAAGCTAAACATTTTGCGAGAAGGCAAGAAGTTTCAATATCATATGTGATTACAGACATGGTACACAAGCTTAATCATATATGATTAAACACATGTTGCATTAACATATAGACGTTTAATCATATATGATTACGCACGTCCAAAATAATGTAATCATAAATGATATTGAAACTTCTCGTCTTCTTATAAAATGTTTAACTTCTGGCATGATCCTTCCTCTCTGTGTATATATATATATAGAGAGAGATTTGATGGTCCATGTCTTGTCGACCCCTGAACAGAGAACAGAATGGCATTTCAAGGTTCGGAATCGGAGATTCCACATGTAGCCTAATACATTAAACAAAATTCCACCAAACCACCAAAAGATTGAGAAATCACCACAATAAACATGCAACTGTTTCCTTATTTTCCCCTCTTTTTTCAGCTAATTTGAGTCCATGTCCATCTACTAGAAAGGAGACACCATTTTGGAATGGACCCAAATCCTAGCAATAAGAGGGCATTTGAACCATCATCTCAATTCTCAAAGCTAAACCATCTATAACAACTACGGGTCACCTCAACTGACAAATAAAAGCTGGTGAACCCCACAAGATTAACGTACAAGCTGAACCGGACACCTCAACTGACAAATAAAAGCCCTCAAACCCCACAAGATTAAAGTACAAGCTGAACCGGACAGACAAATAAAAGCTCTCAAACCCCACAAGATTAAAGTACAAGCTGAACCGGACACTCACAGTTGGAAAAAAACAAAATACAAAAAGAAACTATCTAGGGCATGGGACAAAGCAAATAAAGAAAGCAAATTCTCACCAACAAAAGATGAGCATGGTTCTTCAAGAACACAGGGTTTGAAGGATCTTCGTCAACAGTCTGATCAAAGCTTGTCTGTTTGCCATTAATACCCACTGATTCAATCTGTTGATCTTCTTTTTGAATACCCAAATTCTCAAATCCACTGAATCTACTACTACCATCTTCATCATTTGCAAAACTGAACTCACCACTGCCTTGTTTGACCTTTAAATCCCCAATTGTATTACTATCAAGAAACACATCTGCATCAGCATAAACAGAGAAAGATGGCTCTGTATGCAACATCATAATAGGGTTTTTCTATCCAATCTTTAGACTGAAATCTTGGTTTCTGTGGACAGAAGTCAGGGGTTTATCAGATTGGAATATATATATATGGGTTTCAAATGGAATGTTGAATTCCGAATACCCACATGGAAATGGTGGTCGAAAGGTGATCAAGATAGCGTGAAAAATACCCTTTTCAGTAATGCAATTTTATACCATTTGAAATAGGGTGGTGTTGACTGTTGAGCAGTGGCTGTGTGGATGAAATATGTGGTGGGGATTTCAGAGAAGGGGGTGTGGTCAGCAAATTGGTGTCTTGATAGCTTCAGAGAACTGGTCCTTGCCTCAAGATTTTCTCTAGTTTTTTTTTTTTCCCATGGAAATGGAGAAAATTAAAAAAAAAAAAAAAAGCTTAAAGATGACTAAAAAAATATCATATTTGCATAATATATTCTTTTAAATTTAATATAAAATTAAAAAAAATAATGAAAATAACTAAAATATTTTTAAATTAACTGAACTTAACGGAAAAAGTAAGCAACCGGTGGATCGAGGGACCAAAAACTGTTGGGAATTAACAAACGTGAATAATCAAATCCAAGTTTTTAAAATTTATGAACGATATTTCTTGAAAATTGCATATCTTAACCATTAAGATTGAACTTTACTTGTATTTTAATTTTAAGTTGTTTTAGAGATATCCAACGTCAAAGTTTAGTTGTTTATATAAAAGATTTGATGGTATCCATTTTTGTAAGTCTTTTAAATGTATTTTTATTGAATGTCCATATTTTAAACATTTGATTAGAGTGAAAATTCAGGTAAATTATATCAGAGATAATTGCCTAAAACTTGTTAAACAATGATTGTTTGACGATTGGGCAGTCCTTTTTTTGAAGGATCGGTTAAAATGGATAAGTTAGGAGACCAGTTGAAATGGACGAGTTAATCGATTAAAATGGCAGACTGAGTTTTTAAAAAAACTAGTTGTTAACGGCCCATATGACTACTTTTATTCAAAACCGTTGTTGGCTCTTTTAAGCATTCTTAGCTTAACTGACAATAAGACTATGTCTTAAGCTGCGTTTGGTAAATGAGACGAGACAGGACGGGACGAGACAAAATTCACTGTCCCACGTTTGGCACGACATGGGACAAGACAAGAACTCACTGTCCCGAGTTTGGTGCGACATGGGACAGGGACATGAACTGCTTAGTACCTCATGGGATCCGGGCGGTCAAGGGGGGGGGGGGGGGAACCATGGCTCCTTCTTAAACGGGGATCCGACGGTGCCGAGTGGAAGGGCCGTTGCTCAAATTCTTGGGAAGTTATACATTTTTGTATTGAAAAGACCATTCACTATTTCTTATATGTGTAATCATCAAACGACATCCAACAATCTCGGTGATTTATCCGTCACCGATGTTTATCTCATTGTGCAAGTCAACACCAAGCAAGATCAAAAGTCTGCTAATTATGGGAGATTTTCAATATGGTCATTCTTGCTGGTGGAAACAAAAGACAAAATGCAAAAAATGTAACATTCACAATGTTTTTGTTATGAATATTTGGTTTTTTTTTACCTTCACAACGTTTTGCTGTGAAACTTCAAGTGTAAAAAAGTTGTTTCACGGGTTTCACGAAAACAAACTGGTCTCACATGAACCCAACTCTCTCTCTCTCTCTCCCTCTCTCTCTCTCTATATATATATATATATATATGAACCTGATACACACACACACTCTCTTTATATATATATATATATAGAGAGAGAGAGAGAGAGACTGTGTGTGTGTGTAAGGTTCATAAAGAGAAAAAAAATGGTCGAATCACATGTGATTTTACTGACAAATGTCGAGTCCACCCAATAACATTTAACTAACTAGTCATTTGTTAAAATTAAAATTGTAACGATGGTAAGTCAGGTTGACTCCACAGGGACTCAATTCAACGATAAATGCCGGTTATTTCAAGTACAAATATAATTAATTAAAAATAAATTGCAAAAGTGGGGAAGTTGGATTGATTCATAACCAAACATACCATTTAACAATTTACAGAGCATGCAATAAATTAAAAATCCAGCAATAGTCTACTTTGATAAAGATACAAACACCCGTCATTAAATCCAAAATTATAACAGCACGAAACAAGTGTAAATTGGTTATAATTGCCAAGAAGCTCTGACAGTCTAAGTTATCGATCAAAATAAGCTCTTTAACCGAATCTCAATCTCAAATTTCTATTTGTAATTAGTTTTATCGGGTAAGAAAAACACCAATTCAAAGCTATAAGCTCGTAAGCTTGGCTTAAATGGCTATGACTTCAAGATTTCAAGAACCCATTTCGAAAACCTTACTGAAATCAACTGGGTCCAGTTGTTACTTTATCAAAATCACTAGACAATTACGTATTTAGGTTTTTGTCTAACTAACATTCACATGAAAGTCGAATAATTGGCCAAATTAACATTAAACTTAGAACCCCAACAGATAGCCTTGTCCCAATCAATTACTGATTAACGGTCGTTTTCTCCCCTTTAAAAGCTCTTAAAAACCCGCTTCCCACTAATTAATACGTTACTGGAAACGTACGCTTTTGCTGATCATTCTCTGAAAAATATGCCGGGTACTTCCTTTTTTGAATTAAGTATACCCCGTCTTTATTTGAAAAAGTATGCCCACTTAGTTTCCAATTTGAGAATACATGCTTAGCTTCACGATCTTTGAAAGCATATGCGCCACAGAAAGTTGAGCGACTTTTTGCACGACTAAATTCGCCAAAGAGGTCGTGGGAGCCTAGTTTCGCCCATTTTCTTCGTTTTTAAGTCCTTTTGACTCGAATTCACACTAAACATGATAAGGGACTTAAGTAGCCATACATTATGGATAAAATGACATAAAAATGGGGATTTTGAGCCCGTTAACATATATTAAAACATGAAAATTCGTAGCTATCATTTACACAAAATTCATGTGTAAAATCGCATATGATTTACACGATTTTGGCCGTGACCTGAGGTCAGGGGTCACGTCATCCGCACACCCTTGCAGTGACCGTTACTATTAAAATCACATGTAATATTGCACGTAATTTGACCGTTTCATGTTGTCTTATATGAGTATCGTTCTCGTTTGACACCTCCTTCCCCCCTCTCTCTATATACTGTATAATAATTTAAATTGCATCAAGTTGTAGATCTTGAATAGATCGTCAAGACTCAAGAGTTTGATGAAATACGAAACACAATCGTCTTTTTAGAGTTCTTTTGTATGTTCGTTTTAAAATTGACTAAAAAAATTTGCTACGCGTTTGAAATTAATTATTTTATGTCAATTGCCACTTCTCGTTATGTATTACATGAACTATAAAACTTTGTAATTTTATATTCCCTTTTCACACATCAGATACAGACCGCATAAACCGCACCACACAGCATTTTATGATTTAAGTTGCATACAATTTGGTTTATAGTTTCGAAGATAGCTCAAACCTCATATACAACTACGACTCTAAACAACGCTATAAACCCCCCTACTTAAAGTTATAAAGCAATTAATCGTTTAAAACGAGGTAAAAATCGTAATTTTCCACAAAATTCTTGGAAAAATACGTTCACATTTTATGTGGTTTTGAGACAAAATCATTGCACACCCTTCAAGATTGGGAAAACTAGTTTCCTAAAATGTTGGAAAAACGATCCCAAATTGGGAGGTTGGGGGAACCCTTCGTTTCCCGTTTCATTTCTTATCTCTTTCCCCTCGTCGTCCCATCATAGGACGACGTCGGGGCACTTTATCTAACCACCACCGTCAATAAGGCGTTCGAAAGCATAAATCCATCAAAATGCCGGCCTCCAAACCTTATCAATTGTTGGAGGTCAGCGTCATGTCGGCTCAAGACCTGGAGCCGACATGGGGGAAGATGAAAACGTACGCTACTGCATGGATCCATACCCGACGGAAGCTATCCACACGAATCGACTCCGTCGGGGGCGCCAATCCGACGTGGAACGACAAGTTTGTTTTCCGAGTGGACGAGGAGTTCCTCTGCCTTGATGACTCGTCAGTGATGATAGAGATCTACGCCACCAATTGGCTCCGTGACACCCTCGTTGGGACCGTTAGGGTTCTTGTCGGCAACGTGGTTTCCCATCCTCAAACCTCCCACAACAAACATTACACCGGCGGTATGCGATGTGTAGCTCTTCAGGTAACCTACCGATCAGTCAAATCTATGAAGGCTTCAAGAAACACAGTTTGAAACTAATTAAACCCCATTACTGTGTGTAGGTACGACGTCCTTCAGGACGGCCACAAGGGATATTAAACGTGGGCATGGCGGTGCTCGATAGCTCGATGAGGAGCATGCCTTTGTACTCTGGAGCTTCGGCTGTTGGGTATAGCGATCTAATGAGATTGGGGGATGTCGATACCCATCAGGATCCCAATTATCATCGTCAAACTCGACATGATAAGAATGACGAAAGTGTTGCAGAACGACCATTTAAACCTGTACTACTTCGTTCAAGAAGTGAAAGCAGTTCAATGTATGAGCATTTATCGGTTGCGAACAGTTCGTTGATCGCGGTCCCAAAAAAGCCAGCGTCCTCGATACTAGACGAACCATGTTTTGCCGGATTGAAGTCTAAAAAGGGGAAAGCGAGCTCGGTTGTGAGTGGAGAGGAGCTCCGAGAAAAGCCCAAACCCAAGGGGAAGAAGAAGAGGTCAAGTTCGATCATTGGGGTTCCGATTTTTAGTAAGCCCGAACCCGTTTCGAAGAAATCGGGAGGGTCGATTGTTGGGAAGCAAGGTCTAAAACCCAGTGCGTCTTTTCCTCATAAGGCGAGTTCGGTTTGGTCGGAGTCGGAGGTGGGGCCGTCGGCATCGGAGGTGGCGATGGCGATAATGGAGAGAAAGTATCCGTTGGATGATGCTCGAAGCTCGGTTTTGGATGGGTGGAGCGAGGATGGCAGCGAGGAAGGGTTACAGTCGAAACTGGAGAGATGGAGAAGGGAGAAAACGCCATTGTTTGATCGTGGATCCTCGAAGAGTAGTAGTTTCCAGTGGGATCATAAGCGGCGGCATACGGTGGACGATGTCCCCGGCATGTTTTCGTGCTTTGGGAGCGTATGCGGGATGGAGTTCCAGTGCGTTTGTGGCGACCCGAATGGAGCCATGGATCATGACGGTGGGTTGAGCCCGTGAAGAGGGAGTGCTGTTGACCCGTTCTTTAATGGTTTTGTTTTTATTGTATTTTGTAGTTACATATCGACACATCGGGCTCGGGTGTTGTTTGTAATTCATAGAGTCGTGTTTTTCCTTTACGGAAGTCGAACGTGACCGGTTTATAAACGGGAAAATTTTCGTTTTCTGAAAAACGAACATCACCCGTCATAGAAAAGAAAACGTCTCTGTAATTTTGAACTTGGATCGCTCTAACACCTTTTTGTTATATATATATAGAAGGGTTCAAACGAGAACCCCTGTGATTTACGAGAACGCGAGAACATCCCAATAACCTAAAAAATAAAATTAAAAGATTTTTAAAATTGAAATTGAAAAAGATTCAAAAAAAAATTAAAATTAAAAGGGTTTAATGGAAATGATATCATCAAATCTTTTAAACACGATCATTATTATCATTAACCTTATCATTATCTAGGAAAAGGTTAAGAATTCAAGGAGATTCATAATTTCAAAGCACAAAACAACCGACCGAAGCAAACCTTGATCGACGGTGATCGACCAAGAACAAGCAACCCTAATCATGTGATAATCATGTGATATGGGTGTGATAATCATGTGATAGGGGTGTGATAATCACCGTTATACACCACTTGTGTTATCGTTTTGGTTGATAAGTTAAATTTTTTGTGTAATGATGTGATATGAGTGTGATAATCACCGTTATACATCACTTGGGTTATCGTTTTGGTNATGTGATATGAGTGTGATAATCACCGTTATACATCACTTGGGTTATCGTTTTGGTTGATAAGTTAAATTTTTCGGTGTAATCATGTGATATGGGTGTGATAATCACCGTTATACATCACTTGGGTTATCGTTTTAGTTGATAAGTTAAATTTTTGGTGTGATAATCATGTGATATGAGCGTGATAATCACCGTTATACAACATGGGTTATCGTTTTGGTTGATAAGTTAAATTTTTGGTGTAGTCATGTGATATGGGTGTGATATGGAGAAAAAGAAAACTAACAAGAGTAAAACGTGGAAACGTGATAGGATTATTATGGTTAATTAAAATAAAATAAAATAAAAGTTATAAAAATTATTTAATTACATTATTGCCCTTATTAAATTATATATATATATATATATATATATAATAAAAGTTAATTTATTAATTAAAAAAGTTTGAGGTTATTAAGTTGTTCTCGTATTTTCGTAAATCACAACGGTTCTCGTTTGAACCTCCACCTATATATATATATATATATATATATGTATATATATATGTATAGATATGTATATATACGTAGGGTTGAATTCATGTGAGATCAGTCTGTTTTCGTAAGATCATTTTTTTACACTTGAAACTTCACAGTATAACATTGTGAAAGTAAAATAAGCCGAACCTTCACAGCAAAAACGTTGTGAATGCTACCTTCAAAACGTTTTGCTGTGAAGTTTCAAGAGTGCAAAAGTAGTCTTACGGGTCTCACGAAAATAGGTTGGTCTCACGTGATCTCAAGTCTATATGTGTGTGTGTGAATGTATATATATATGGAGGTTCAAACGAGAACACCTTCATTTTACAAGAACGTGAGAACACCCTTATTACATGTGATAATACGCGTGAGGGGACCCTGTGATGTGCGGACGACATGTTCTACGACTTAGCCCGCGTAAAAGGTTGTCTGCGTCTATGATTTAGCATCACATGTGATGGTCTTGATGGATTATAGTTTCATATCAACAGCATATTTATCACATGTATAATACATGTGAGGGGGCTTAGTAGTGTAAGGGCGACTTGGCCCGCAACCAATATCACATCGAAAATTGTCCGCGTCTCTGATTTAGTATCACATGTGATGGAATAATAATATCATATGTGATTGTCTATAGTAAAATGGTCTTCTCGCGTTCTCGTAAAATAAAGGTGTTCTCGTTTGAACTCTCTCTCTCTCTCTCTCTCTCTCTATATATATATATATATAGAGAGAGAGAGAGAGAGAAAGAGAGAGGATGAGGAAGAGGAGAATGCGAAAAGTTCCAAGATAATATATGATTATATGTGATACACACACTTAGGGGCTCTTTGGCAATTGCTGAATGGTTTGGTACAGAATGATTAAGTGGTCAAAATGATTAAGARGCTCTCATGATATAATGCAAAATGAAATATAATTATTTGGTAATTGTGCACAATAAAATTAGAGCTCTTAATGGTTAAGGAAGATCCGGGATACAAAATCATTCAGAGGGTTTTAGAACCATTAAGAGGCAGACTTTTATTTTGCCAAATAAGATTCACCTCTTAACGATTCAGATGTTGCCTTTTAATGAAACTATTAAGAGGTAAACAAACAACCCGTTAATTATTATGATTAAACACATCTAGAAAGGACGTAACTAACTTGGTGAACGCGGTTGAAGGTCTTTCGCGGTTAATGCAACATGTGTTTGATTATATATGATCAAGCGTGCATATCACGTGTAATCATATATCATCTTAGAACTTCTCACATTCTCCAAATTGACCACCTTTTTTGAACCTAACCCTACACATATAAATATAAAATCTTTATCTTACTTTTTAATGTTCCCCCTCAAGCTAGAGAGGGAGAGGGAGAGGTTGAGACGAAGATCCTAGTTTGTGCACATGACGGAGATGGAGTTGTACCGAGGCACCTTGGTTAAAATATCAACCACTCGCTCATGAGAAGAGACATGCTCCATGCGAATGGTACAAGCTTTGAGTTGATTCCTCACATAATGAAAGTCAATTTCTACACATATGGTTTTCTCTTATAGGACAGGACCGGACCGGACCGGAAACAATGGCCAAGGTAGCCTTATTGGCACATTTGGGCACACTAGAAGGAAGATGGTTGAGACCTAGATATCTGAGAAGAGCTGAAAGCCAAGTGACTGAACAGGTTGTAGGAGACATCGTATTTTGCCTCTGTAGATGATCTAGCAACTACCAGTTAGGTACCTCAATCAGATTGGGAAGGATCATATCAGAGCCTCCTATTTCTGCTTAGTATGAAGTCTGATAGGTATCTCAATCGACTAGTCGGATTATCCCAATACAAACTTCATGACACCTTAGGCTTCATTGAGTTGAAATGTTGTATTTCAAGAATGTTCGCATACATGATCCAAGTTTTTATCAGAGATTGATTGAAATCACAAAACCTAGTTTCTAACAGACAGGGTACCACCTGTAGATGGAGTTGGTGACTGAAAATACCAACAAACGTACTGAATTTCTCTAGATCCAATCTGCTACTTTGTGTTCATGCAGATGGTGACCGGAGATGTTTCTTAACTGAAAACTATATCATAATATGATATTTTAAGCGAAAATCGATAATAAAAGAACGTAGAAAGAGTAACATAGTCATCACTTAACGGAGTTAGTGTTGAGGACAATTTCAAAGCAAAAATGCAAAGCATAGGTACTATTCTTGTATTATTGGTATTTGAGGGATCACTTTAGTATTTTAAACATAATATAGGGACCAAAAGTGTATAAATATTCATAGGTTGTGGGGCCTGGCATCGATTAAGACAGCTGTTAAGATATGAGTAGGAGTCTACTTTTCCAAGCAAAGTTTTATGGCGAATGTCTTGTGAATGCTGGACAAAAAATTAAAGTGATTTTCAATTTATTATATACATATATATTTATTAATAAATTATAAATAAATTAATACTAATGCCATTAATATTTCGTATTGATAATTAAAAATAATATGTAGTTTATTTTTTAATAAATTAACAAAGAAAAATTCTAGATAAATTTTTAATAAAATCATATATTAATCAATTATTTAATGAAAAATAATAATTTCTTAAGTAATATTAATATAACTAGAAGGGTATCACGCAATGCAGCAAAATACATCTTGATCTTAATGTGTTATTTTATTATGTCTATGTTGATATAATACGATTTTATGTGGTTTTGAGAAAGCGAAATGTTTTTATTTTAAATAAAATATAAATTTGAAAAAGAATACATCAATATTAGTATCAAATTAACTATTTAATTGTTCTCGTTTTTTTGTCTAACCTTTTTAATTCAATTTCTTTTATTATATATTTATAATTTAATTTAGGTCTAATAACTAAGCAATTTATTTTTAATTTGATGATATAATTTTATATAAAGATAATATTAAGTATTATGTTAAAACTCAATGATTATCTAAATTATATTTTAAATTTTTTATATTTACAAATGTGATATTTATCATGTATTTGATTATGTTTATCTGCAGTTTGTTACACAAATTCAAACATAAAGCTTTAATAAATTGTACTTACGCACAATTTATTTGTAATCTTAAATTTTAAGTAATATGCATCAATAAACAGTACTTTATGCATAAAAAATGGTGTTTAAGAGTTTTTGCCAAATGTTTTATAATACAGTTTAGATAAGTTTTTATTTAAAGATAAAATGATTATTCACAGCTTTAAATGAAGCATTTTATGTTACTTTTTAAAATATAATTTTGTCAAAATTGTTATATTTATCTTTCTTAAATGGAAAAATTGCATCAAAATGGAACCAACTTTCACCTAATTCCTATTTTGGGGAACCAACTTTCAAAATCGTCATTTTGGTGAACCAACTTACACCTGATTCCTATTTTGGGGAACCACTTTTCAAAATCGTCATTTTGGGGAACCAACTTGCACCTGATTCCTATTTTGGGGAACCAACTTTCAAAATCGTCATTTTGAGGAACCAACTTGCACCTGATTCCTATTTTGGGGAACCAACTTGCAAAATAATTACAGAAAAATAACTAAAATTCGTTCTTTTCCAAAAATTAATGCAATAAAATCTATTTTTCATTTCAAATCTCGTTTTTTTAAATTCAGTATCAAATTGAACATTTTTAAAAAAAATCCAAATTGCCACAATAAAAATTGTTTTTTACTAATGCAAAAAAAATCAATTTAATAGAAAAAAATAATTGATGCAATAAAAAATAAATATTAAATATCACGTTCAAGATTTTTCCATCTAACCAATTGCATCAATTAATTTTTTTCTATTAAATAGATTTTTTTTGCATTAGTAAAAAACCATTTTTATTGTGGTAATTTAGATTTTTTTTTAATGTTCAATTTGATATCTGAATTAAAAAAAACGAGATTTGAAATGAAAAATAGATTTTATTGCATTAATTTTTGGAAAAAAAAAAAGAATTTTAGTTATTTTTCTATAATTATTTTGCAAGTTGGTTCCCTAAAATAGGAATCAGGTGCAAGTTGGTTCCCCAAAATGACGATTTTGGAAGTGGGTTCCCCAAAATAGAAATCAGGTACAAGTTGGTTCCCCAAAATAGGAATCAGATGCAAGTTGTTTCCCCAAAATGACGATTTTGAAAGTTGATTCCCCAAAATAGGAATTAGGTGAAAGTTGGTTCAATTTTCGTGCAATTTTCCCTTCTTAAATATACACACTTAAAAATACTTTTATGTTATATTTTATTATTTATAAAATTAATTACACATATACTTTAATATTTTATTTTAAAAAAAATGTCTAAAAGAAAATGCAATAATACTCGTATATTGAGACCGAAAATTAAAGGTAATGAAATATATTTCGTAATACCGAAAAACAAAAAAATAATTGTTAATAATTTTAAAATGAATAATTTTTTGTTTTGTTTTATTAATGAATTGTATATGTGCATTAACAATCTATGGTTGGATTCTGGTGATAACAACGGTTAAATATGAGAAACGTAAGAACATATTTTCACTATTTGATACACATTAGGATGAGATGTATCGAGATATGTCAGATTAATTCTTGTATCAAGCATGATTCATGAGTGAGTTTGAGATTAAAGGCGATGAAGGGTTCAAATCGTTTATCATACTTCTCACTTTAAAGGGCCGTTTACCAAACGCTTACATGGGTAAGCGCACATACTAAGTAACATTACCTCACCGGATGAATATAGTAAGGACCAATAATCTTACCCGATAAGAGCGAGACAAGGATCAAGATATTTTTCCCGGTAAGTGAGGGCGACGACTCTTACCACAGTAAGCGTTTACTAGGCAAATTATTGTATACTATGTCGTTTTTGTGGATTAAAATCTTACTTGGTAAGTACATAATAGTGTTAAATTTTACCGGTAATCACTTATCGGATAAATATTTGATAAACGGCCCTAAATTTTTTTCTCACATGATTGTTCACCAAACAATTTAATAGACATTTTTTTTTGTATTTTTCAGACAATTGTGAAATTATTGATCTTAAATAATTTATAGTTTGATGATTATATACAAAATTATAAAAACATATTACATGTACTTCATTATAAAACATTTGACAAAAAATTTTAAAAACCATTTTTTATGCATGAAGTGTTATTTATTGATGCATACTACTTAAAATTCAAGATTCAAGTAATTTTGCGTAGGTACAACTTATTAAAGCTCCATTTTTAAATTTGTATAACTAACTGTAGATAAACATAATCAAATACAGGATATACATCCATTTTAAATATAAAAAATATAAAATATAATTAAAATAATCATTGAGTTATAACAAAATACTTAATTATTATCTTTAAAAATTGTTTTATTAAACCAAAATAAATTTATTCGCTTTTAAACTTCAATTAAATTATAATAAGAAATTGAATTAACGAAATTACACAAAAACAAGAACTTTTAAATAGTTAATTTGATACTAATATCGATTATTTTTTTCAAATTTTATGATATCTTCAAATTTATATTTCATTAAAAAATAAAAATATTTTCTTTTTTTCTCAAAACCACATAAAATCGCATTATAACATCGATAGACCCAAAATATAAAACGAAACATTAAAACCAGTAAGTATCTCGTTACATTGCACGAGTACTCTTCTAGTATTTAATAACGGACCTGTTTTTAAACAATAAAATAATTTGCATTTTTACCATCCATATTAATAATAATCAACACATTTTTCATAAATATAATTACTAGACTTAATTTCATGTTAAGAAATTATTTTTATCCGTTTTATAAAAACTTGTGATATATCAGTAAAAAAACTAATATGACATAAACAACTACCCATATATCTGAAGTAATTACAAAATCACACATATTTATGTTTTTTCAAAGACAACATAATATTAAAAGTATAAAACAGTACAAAGAAGATACATAAAACCAATAACAAAATCAACTGCAAGATGCAGTTAAAGGGAGGGGGGCAAAATAAGGCTAAAAGCAACAACCGAGCACCCAAAAAACAACCAAACAATGCAAAACAAGGTAGAAAGCCAAGGAACTGCATAAAAACGAAAGACGGAGAGGCAAACCCGAAGCGAAAGCGAGCAAAGAAACCACCGTAGAGGTTACATGAGAAAGACAACATGTTTCAATTATTGACTCAATCCAACCCACTATGCGAGCCGACTAATCCTAGAACAGTCACCTGCTTTGCGGGTGGCCCGGAGTCACTGCATTGGAACCTCTATAGCCACAAGGGGATTTTTATTTCTCAGATTTTAACCTGAGACCTCCAAACACTTTTGACATATAATAAAAATTAGAATATTTTTATAATTTATTGGGTTTTTTAATTAAATACAAAAAATAGCTGAAGCTTTTTTAGACTTTAATCCTTAAAGATAGGAGAGAGTAAATCTTATTATAGATCCTCACAATCTCTTTATGGTAATTTTATATATAAAACATTGTTTTGTATTTAAAATATTATTTATTTCATTTTTTTAATACAATAAATAAACTAAATAAAGTGTTGCTATGGATTAGAGAAGATGATCATAGTGTTTCTTTATCGAATACAATACTATAAAAAGGAAGAAAATACCCCAATTTATATTGAAAAAATAAATAATATGTTTTGATTTTAAATTATATTTTTCATGGTAATAATCATATTAAATTACATTTTTCTTGGTAATAATTACGGGTGTAAACGATATGAGACAACTCGCGAGCTACTCGAGAACGACTCGGTCAAAGCTCGACTCGACATATTAACGAGTCGAGTCAAGCTACCTAATACTCGACTCGAAAAACTCGTGAGATACTCGATTATTTTATATATAATTAGTTATTAAATATAATCAGTTATTATGATAAAATTTGTAAAATATAAATAATAAAAAAGTCTTATATTTTTAGATATTTAAACAAAATTATGCATTTTTTATTATAACAATTAATCAATTATTTTTTATTAAAATCATAATTAAAAAAAACCAAAGAAAATTTATAAAAAGGGTTAGTGAAATTGTCTCACGTTGAAAGAGGGATGGAAAAGAAGAAAGAAACTATGTTATAAAAAAAGATGAATGAAATTTTCTAACTTTGTCTTTTTGATGATGAAGTTTGAAGTTGATCATTGTAGTTTTATAAAAATTAAGAGAACACCTTTAAATTTTAAAATTTATAAGAGAAATACCCTAAAATTTTATAAATTTCAATGAGTGAGTTTGGTTCGAATTTGAGTTCGAGTTCAAGCTTGATTTGAATTGCAATTCGAGCTCGAGTTCGAGTTGAGCTTTGATTTTTACTACTCGCAAGTTTTCGAATCGAATTCGAGCTTGGAAATTGGGTTTCGAGTTCGAGTCGAGTATAGTGATACTCGAGCTCGACTCATCATTTACACCCCCAGTAATAATCATATTAATATCGAAGACGTATTAGAAGACAGTTTCCGTTGAATGAGGGTAAATAAACCTTGCTCTGTATCGATTGAACTCCATACCAGTTCCATATTCATAATGCTAGATATATCGAACTTGTTTGGTTTATATGAATGAACATTAGAAAACTATTTGGTATACATTTTTAATGTGAAAAAAAAGTGAACATTTTTTTTTATTAACCTGTATATTCAACCTGCTATGCGAGATGATTAATCTCATGACGACCACCTGCTTTGCAGATAGCCCGGAGTCACCGTATTTGAACCTCCGTTGCCACAAAGGGATTTTTATTCATCCTTGGATTTGAAAAAAAAAAAAGGTGAAGATTTAAATATAAAGAAAAGGGTAGGAGGTGGAAAATGTAAATTAGCAACTTTAAGGGGACAGGTGTGCAAATTGTTAGTTTTATGAAACATAATGAGAAGGGCAGGGGAAGTGGTAATACCAAGCGCACTACCAGCAGACACATGGGTCCCTTGGCTATAACCACATACTCCTGCTCTGTTTCCTCTTAGGTGACCACTTTTCTCCTTTTCTTCTTGCTTTTTAGAGTTCTTCAACCCATTCATTTTCACTTGAAAAACAAATCCCATTCCCCCATTCTCCTTCCCACCATTCTTTTCTTCTTCATCTACTCTGCAACCCCATTTTCTTTCTGTAACTCTTCCTTCTTCTTCATCTTCTTCCTATGGAAACAACTTTCAGACTAAGTGGTGGTGGTGGTGGTGATGGTGGTGATTATGGTGATGATGACGAACTGGAACTTGGATTAGGGTTGAGTCTTACTTCTGCTGCTTATGCTCCCTCCTCCAATGGTGCTCTCAGGTTAACTTTCTGTTTTATGGTGTGTGTGTGTGTTTGGGGTAGGGGTGGTGGGGTACAACTTGATTCCTAGTTTTGTTTCTTTGCATTTAAGGGTATGTACCACATGCATTTATAGTTGGGATATCAGCAAAAAGATCACTGTTTCAGGTTTCTTAAACAGCTCAAACTGATTTGAACCAGAGGATATGTCTTTTAGAACAGGAAAAAATGGTTCTTTTCAAATTTGAATCAGATTTAGATCATGGGTTTTTACGAATCTTGAAATCTTGATCTCATTTAATATTGATTAATTGGAGAATTTCTTTTTGAAGCAGTCAGGTGGTGGGATGGCCACCTGTGAAGACTTATAGGATGAACAGTTTGGTCAACCAAGCAAAATTTTCCAAAAATGAAGAGGAGAAGGGAGTGGGTGGGAACGATGGGTCCAAGAAGAAGAAAAAGAATTCAAACAAGAATGATGAGAAGATGGTTAAAGAAACAGGGCATTCTGGGTTTGTGAAGGTGAATATGGATGGATTACCTATAGGTAGAAAGGTGGACTTGAATGCTCATGATTGCTATGAAACTTTGGCCCAAGCTCTTGAAATTATGTTCTTAAAAGCATCATCGTCTATCCGTAAGTATGGTTTTACTTTTACAGTTACCATGGGGTTAAAAAAGCAACATATGAACATGAAACAAGATCTTTAAATGTGTCTAAACTCTGTTGTGTTCATTTGATTCAGGTAGAGAAAAGCAGCAACATTCTCGGCTTTTGGACGGATCTTCTGAGTTTGTGCTAACTTATGAAGATAAAGAAGGAGATTGGATGCTTGTAGGAGATGTTCCATGGAGGTACTAAGCAATATGCAACTTTGAACCCTAAAACAGAGATGGGTTTGATCAAGTTTTCGTAAAATAACAGATGGTTTAACCTCTATGAGCCTTAATTGACCTGAGTTGCTCTGTTTTCATCAGGATGTTTCTGGGCACTGTGAAAAGGCTAAGAATCATGAAAACCTCAGATGCTAATGGACTTGGTATGTTTGGATTCAATCTAAGTTAGATTCTAATCCTGCTTTAAACCGAATCTAACCCATTTCTGTATGCAGCTCCAAGATACCAAGAAAAGAATCAGAAGCCGAAAAGCAAGCAACTTGAATTAAGAAGATGAAGGAACAACCACAGAACCACCTACAGACTAGAAAAGTTGAAGCTTTTGTTTGGATAATCATGGCTGCTTTACTATATGTTCACTTTTTTGGTTCATTTACTGGTTTTTTGCCTTCCCAACGGTTCTTTTTGTCCATTCGATTCTTCTTTTCTGTTTTTTTGTTATTGTGAGCATATTAGGATGTGTTCTTGCTTACATATACTCCCATACCCATCTTGAAAGGTTTGATGATGATGATGATGTTATTTACAAGTTTCTTAAGCTTGCTACGATATGTAACTTTTTCTTTATATTACATTTCAATCGGTAATCTGTCGTTCTTCTTTGTGTTTCTTGTTGGTGTGTTTGTAACTGTTCCATCTCTGTTCTTCAAGTTATGAAGTGTGTACCAGTGTGACTATGTTGGTTTTTTCCCAATCCCAAGTCTTCTTAACGCATCTTTTCGAAGAATTCCTGTGTTTTAAGATGATCCCATGTTTCGTTTTAATCTCTTCCACTAAATTTGCAAAAGTTCTCGATGAAAAAACCAAAATACCAGTATACCACATTCATATATGAATATAACCAGTAGAATACAGACTTCATATATGAATATAACCACATTCATCTTTTGGATCTGAAAGCAGACAATGTGCTTAAAATGCAAACTCATGGATATTTATTGGGGAGTCCTGAAGTAAAGCAAACATGAGCATATGGATGTTTCGTAGAGATTTATAATAATAACGTAGTAAAGCCAAACATACAACAAGGTTGTGTCGCTGAATGAACATAAACAGCATTGAAATCAACGCAAAAACTCTCTTGGATCGGTAACAAAACCAGTCAAAGCCGAAGCTGCAGCAGTGTAAGGAGAAGCTAAATAGATCTGACCTTCTTTGTGACCCATGCGGCCTGGGAAGTTCCTATTTGTGGTCGACACACAGACCTGCCATCTTCAACAATTTCAAATGAGATAAAAGTTGCACTATTTAAGATGGAAACACACACCCTTTTCTATATGCAGTTGCCCTTCATACAAGTTGATGTGGTTTTCAAAAGAAATCTTGAAAATATAACATTTTTTTAAAAACTTAACTCGTTTGACCTCAAAAGTCAAACTGTATGATCTTTGGTCTGGTAAAGAAGAGAAATACTGGCCTGAGGTTCATTAAGGCGTGCATAAGTATCCTGTGGACCACCCAAACAGGCACCACAGCTAGGACTGGTAGGCGTATCACAACCGGCTTCTTCAAATATCTGGGAACAAGTCTTGCCACCAGATTCTGGCACTGGGAGGGTATATAAGTCCATCCATACCTACAGAATTCTACTGTTAGCATACAATTTAATTTTTGCAAGTGTTGGGAAAATCTCACCAACTTGTAGTGGTGAGCAGAGCACAAACCTTTTGAGTAGCAGGAACAAGGAATGTGGGTACTTTGACCTTTTTGCCCTGCAAGATATATCAACGGTCAAGTAACATGATAACATAAGTATGATGCTACTGACGGTTTGTACTCGGTAACATATTAAAGTGGCCATTTTTGGACCAGGCCTGATGGACTGGCCCTGATCAGGTTGGATAGTCGGTCCTTTTCTGGATGGATTTTTTTGAGTCGGACCAGATAAGGACCAGACTTTTCTTGGACTAGATAACAACCGGCTTCTTTCCTAGTTTAACTCCGAAAAATATTTTTCAAACATGTTCCTTTAGAATTAAAAAAATCTTGGTTGTTGGAAAAATAGTTTTAAATTTTATGTTGAGGTACTATATTTAAATGAATCTAAATTTACATCAATGCATTAATTTATTTTCCTTTGAAATTCAAGTATTATATTTAAAAAAAGATATAATACTTTTGGATAAGCTGGAAAATCGAAATGGGAATGAGTTTCATTCCCACCAATTTGTTGAGAAATGTTCCATTATCCAGTAGCTGGTAATGGCTCATTATATTGCATCAAACCAGACACGATTAATGATTTCCATTTCCATTCCCCATCCCTTATTGACGCCAACCAAGCACCGTTAAGAATAAGGGGTGAGCAACGGAACCGGGTACCCGGCTACGGAACCGGAACCGCCGGTTCCGAAACCGATATGAGTGGTTCCGGTTCCTAAAATACGGAACCGATTGAGAATGGTTTCGGTTCCGGTTCTCAATTTTTCGGAACCGTTACCCGCTGGGTACCCGGTATTTTTCAATAAAATWWTAATTATTATTTTTTAATACCAAATTTATATTAGGTTTACATCTTGAAAGCACGTCGTCATTTTCATTCTTCATCTAAATTCTTCATATAAAATGATTCGTATTTTTTCAAATTGTRTGTTCACTTGGATTCATAGTATGTAATCGTTAAACTTTGAACATTTAYCATTATATTATGTAATCGTTAAACTTTGAACATTTTCTATTAGTCTATTATGGTTTGTAATCGTTAAACAATATTTGTAACCATTATTCTGCATAATTTGTATTATTGCCTATTTATTTAGTGTTTTGGCAATGTTTTATTTTTTATTTCTAAATAACAAAATTTTAATATTTTAGGAAGCGGGTGCCCGGAACCGGAACCGGTTCCCGGCGGTTCGGGTTCAAAAATTTTAAAAACCGCTCTAACCGGTTCCGGTTCCAATATCTCAAGAACCGCCGGTTCCAGTTCCTGTCAAAAAAGGCGGGTACCCGCCTATGCTCACCCCTAGTACTTAAGATATTTGAAATCTTACCGAAGCTAGGAAAACTCTGGCAGCAGCTAGGAAATCTTCCGTTTTGCCTCCAGTACATGATCCAATATACACTCTGTCTGTTTTCACATCTTTGCATTCCCTTGCTAATCCCCGATTATCAGGAGAATGAGGCTGCAAACCATAAAAATAACTTCTATATCACATGAATCTGAACAGCCTAGTTTTGAGTATTTCTATTCCCCTTGCTAATGTTTCTGAAAGCCATAATGAAGTCCAATGAAAAGTAGCATATCAGACCTTTGCCACTAGGGGCTCCAATTTGGTGACATCGATTCTGTACTCAGCAAGAAACCTGAAATGCAACGAACGACACTTGCAGACTCAGAATGTGAAATTTGAAGTTTTTCAATAATAATAAATCTAGCGAATCAGTTCAAGACACGAGCACAAATGATAAGAAGCCACCTTGCTTGATCATCACTGTAAACAGGTTCGTAGGGGAGAGATGTTTTGTCCTGTGGGGGATATACAAATCTTAGTGATTTTTTTTGACATGTGAGCATGTAACTAATGAATCCTCAAAGTAACTTGTGAACGGGACTAGGGCAGGAGATGGTAATTCAAAAGATTTGAAGAGGGTATGATGAAACGAACCTCGAGGTATTTAAATGTAGTAGCATCAGCTGGAACAATACCATTCTTTCCCCCAGCTTCAACAACCATGTTGCATAATGTCATTCTTTCTTCCATCTATGCAACACAAATGAAAATATAAATAAAATATGTTACAGCTCACAATGTGATAAGAACCTCAACATAATCCCATAAAAATGACATCATTTTTCTTTTTATAAGAGACTCTTTTTACCTATTTTCCCATCATCATCATCGCTAATCTATTGATGTTACCAATTTGGGTCCAGACAGAAACAGCCGCTCTACCCTTTGAGGTAGAGGCAGCTCAGATAGGCGTACATCTTCCCCCCCCCCCCTTCCCCCCCAAAAAAAAGAGCCCTACTCCTGGGCTCGTTTGGTTTGGTTATTTGGGTCCAGACACTTTCTTTATTCATCGTGACTGATGAGTATTTTAGATATTGGACAAACAGTATTAAGTCTAACATTGCAATTTTCATGGATGGACAGAGTGCCTAATGTAACAATACTAGTAACTTGAGATGCTTGTATATTACAACGAAACAAAAAAGAAGAAAAAGACTTACTGTTAGACTTTCAATAGTCGAACCAACAAACTCCATTGCCTTATATGTTGCACCGGATACAGATATTTCACCAATTATCTATAATGTGAGAATCATCAGTAAAACAAGTTGGAAATAGTCAGGTCATATCGATTATCTATCAACATGAAAATAGTCATTACATATTTAACACATTGTGGTAGGCATAGTCAAACTTACTTGAAGGATCAAATCCTTTGCAAGCAGATAATCGGGCATTTCTCCATCCAACACAAATCTTAAGGTCGGGGGTACCTGTAAAAAAGAGACAGGGTGTTCAAAAGCAATTGCATTTCCTTAGGAGGTACCCCATGCTTTTAAGTTCCAAGAAAGTGCGTCTATATTAGAAAAATAGCTTGCAATCAAATCCTAATTTACTTTGAAGAGTTTTAATTAAACAAAGCCACATGCAATTAAGTCCCATTGGGATTTTATCGTGTTAAAACCACGAATGATAGATCATAAATTTAGACTGCCATTACTACGAATTTGTAATCTATAGCAGTTGTCCATTGCAAGACTCTTGACCTAAAAATGGCAGCTTTCCCAATTGCAAGGCATCAAGCAATAGTTCTAATCCTTGTTTATTAATAGAAGGACCCTTTCACATATGTCACTTTTGGAGAACTCTTTTGGCCCAAATAGCTTCACGGTTCACCTAACATCTATCAAGGGGTGAGCCCGTTCTTTTTGGTAATTTTGGGTGTCCAGCCCAGCAAGTATGCACCTCGACTAATCCCATGGGGCTATGAAGATAACAGTTAGTAAAATCCTCAGTGGCCTTGAGGAGACTTGAATTGGCATCAGTTAGGAGGCACCAATCATCATAACATGCAACTTATGAGGGATCAATATTGTCAAAATAACAAGCCCATGTCGCACTCCAGAAGAAAGGCTAGAGAAATTACAAGAACCCAATAATAAATGTCGAATACATGCATTTTCAAACCTTAAGCAAAAGTTTTCCAGTCCCAAGCACAAAACCAGCGTCAGTGTTACCGATTCCTGTAGCGAACTGGCCAAATGCTCCAGCAGTACAGGTGTGGGAATCCGTACCAAGCAAGACCTGAATGCAAGATCATGTGCAAAAAAAGCAGTGTAACATTTCTATCTTGTAACACTTAATGTTAAATTTGATTGAATGGTTTTGGGGTACCTCTCCAGGTCTGCAATGACCTTCTTGTGCAAGAGCAACATGGCATACACCTTTGTAATCAGGATTAACCTTAAAAAAATAAGCAATCTCATTTTTAACATCCATTGAACATGAGATGATAAAATATAAGATAACTTTCTGAAAAATATAACAGCAGTCAAACTTCCAAAAAGGTGAGAACATGGTACCTTGAAGTTACTACGGTCTTTTATATCATAAAAATATTTGATATCTTGCTCCGTGGAGAAATCCCTTATGATATCGACATTTCTGTTTGCTCTTTCATCACTTGTGAATATATAATGGTCAGGTATGATGACAATCTTTTCACGGTCCCAAACCTAAACATAGTAAGCATGTAATTCATATACGATCAGATTAAACCATCAACAAATGGATTTGATCCAGTAAATCCTAATATAGAAGAGCACAAACATCACATGTTGAAGCAAAAATGTCTAAATTGAGGGAATAAGATCCATTACAATTGTCAGGAATTTAATTATGGGAATTTCTAACAACCCTTCCTACATCGTTTATGGATTATAATTAAAAACAGTCCTTAGTAATTTGCTACTAGTAACTTCAATCATGGTTTTAAGTAAATTTGGAGGTTATTTTGCACTCATAGTACTTGAATAGCTTTTTCTTTAAATTATTTGAAATACATCATGAAAGTACACTGCAACTTATCTGTTCTCTATGCAATAATCGGACGATATAAAAGTTTTAGTTGCATAATCATATCATTCTCTAGAAAAATAAAAGAAACATTTGAAGTTAACTATAAACCATACTTACTTGGCAAAAGACGCTAAGTAGCACACAAGCATCTACAAGCAACCAAACTAGAAGCAGTTTTTGTTGTTTATAGTGTTGAATGAGAAAGTATTATACATCCCAAAAAACATAAAATGCCACATGGACCTCAAAGGAAATTAATTCCTCACCACAACACATTTCTTTTCCTTTCCCTTCGTACTATGCATTCATAGGTAACCACATAAAAAGCAATAACATTTCAAGTTACATACTGCATTCAAAGTTTCTAACCTTTTTATGGATTAAAAAATTGTCCCTTGTTTGAATCTAGCAGTAAATAAACAATTAATTGGTACCTTGGCATCGTTCCCAAACTCTTTCTTGAAGATTCCAATGCAACCTGGGCCACAAACATCATGTGTCATCAAGATGTCAACATTGACCCAAACATTGTCACCAGGGTTCAACTGAGGTTTCTCGGCAGCTCTGGAAAAGATTTTCTCTGTCATTGTCATCCCGGTCTTTACCTGAAAACACAATCCAATTAGTCCAAATTTTACACTTCTCCCCAACTTCTCCAATTATTTAAGTCAAAACATGTTAGAAAAATGGAGCAACATTAACCCAAATCCAACATTTAGTGTGCATTAAGTTCTCAACTTTATGGTGCCAAAACTATAACAAAATAAGCCAATATGCTAAAACCGGGATTGATTCAGGTAAAACTTAAGAGCTATTTTCCGTCAACTTCTCAAACTTGTGATGCCAAAACATTAATTTTACAAAAATTAACCCGCGACTCACAATTAGTTTGATCCAAATCATCAAATTGATGGTGTGAAAACAACAATTAGCAGCCAAATTGAGCAAGTTTCTCAAAACCCTCAGTTTTTCAGGTTATTGAATATATATACTGAATACTAAAACCGGATAGATCTAACCTAAAAGGCTAAAACCCACAATTAATTAGCTCAGGATAGGGATGGAGGTTTGACCAGACACAGTGGGTTCATCCAACCCGACTGGGGATTCCCACATAACAGGGTCTCGGGTCAAAGGCTTGGGATCCACCGTCTCTACCGATGGGATGGGGAAGGTATTCCCCACCCAGCCCCAATAATATATTACATATATATATATATATGTGTGTGTGTGTGTGTTTTATATATATATACATACATAACCATATACACACGACCATCAATCTCCCACTATTTTGCACAATTCCTTAAATATGCACCTCCATGGCCAATAAACTCACTATTCTCGCATTCTTTATTCAAATTCTGAATAACATGCATTGTCTTGATCTCCATGTACACAAATACAATAGCCCAAATGAGAACCCATGTTCAATTTATTATATCAAAAGAGTCTAATTAAACATGTTATTAAACTTTAACTAAATCACAGCACCATCATCATGTATGGCTGAAAATTTCAAATTGCCTATGTTTGAGATAGAATTAGCCTCTACAATTATTTCATCTTTTTGGAAAGAAAATAAGCAATTCGAGAATTACGGGTTTCAAGCATGCTCATACTAAACATGCTAGTTAACCATTCAAAATATGTATAAATTAGAATATGATACATTATTTTAGCTTACTAAGGGGACGTTTACCAAATGCTTACTCGGGTAAGTGCTTATCAAGTCATATTCCTTTACCAGATGAATATGACAAGTACCAAGAATCTTTCCAGGTAAGAGCGAAGGCATGAACCGATAGACGAGAGTTTTACCCGGTAAGTGATGACGATGACTCTTACCATTGTTTTGTTAGACTAAAATTTTACCCGATTAGTAAGAGATAGAGTTGAAATTTACCATCCGGGTAAGTGTTTGTAAACGGCCCCTAACTTATTTGAGTTGAGTCCATATTCCCAAGGGCAGGGGATTGGATTCCCATCCCTGGCTCCAGGTTGTCAATAACATTTACATGCATAACGTTTGGGGAATCCTCACATCAAAACCCCACAAAGTAGCTCTAAAATTCACAAATTAAGAACAAGGACATGGACAAAGAAGGGGAAAAAGGAAAAAACCCAACTGAACCAGTGGTGGATGGTTTTCGTTCAGATTGTTGTGGTGCCATCACGGATACAATCTTCTTCGATACTTTTTTCTGGGACATTTGGATTGAAGAAGAAGGTTGTGCGTAAAATGAAGACACACCCGCATCTTTCTGGAAATTTTGAAAGATTAAATAGAGTCAAACAACGATTTTCCGTAAAAATAAAAGAAATGAAGAACATCAAAACACCATGAGAGTACGGTGATTAACCTGGCTAACGGAAAGGAAAGAACTTGAGGAGATTGCAGATGAAGCCGCCATTGATGAAACGACTAACGCTTGGGGGTTGGTGCGAGTCTAATTCGTATGGTAGCCACGAGTACTTGTCGATGAACCTGCGTTTGGTGGGTCCGTTGCAAGGTCCGTTACACAACCTTAAATGCCCATGGCATAGCCCGCAATAGCCCAGCCCAGCCCAGCCTGGCTTTCCAAAATCCAGCTTATAGCTCCAAAAATTCTCCAAAAGAGAGTAACCAAGGGTTAAAATTTCTAAATAAAATTATATTCGTTTTTAACAGATTTCCAGTTTAAAAAATCTAACATTGATTATAATATTATAATATTTCGTTCATCTATTTAAATATTATCTTTTTCTCTAAACATTTATTTTCAAAGCTTTTTATTAGTACTCTCACTTGGTAATCATTTTTGGAATGATCTCCATGTTTTGAGAAAAACTATTTATCTCTCCTACTTTCTTACTTTTGAATATATTTTGGGAAAAGTTGTTCGAATAAAATATTGACTCAAAATCCCCGTTTTCTCCATTTTTTCAGTTTTAGATATGTTCTGGTATTTTAGAGTAAACTACAATCTTGGTCCTTGTGGTGTGTTAATTTTTTTGAAAGGGGTTTCTAAATGTAAAAAATGGAAGAACCGTTACTATGTTATGTATTTTGCTTTGAAAATGACACGTAGCCTTAACATTTTTATTTAGACCGTCATTAATTAGAGGGTATTTCAGTCATTTTGACTTTTTATAATAAAAATATTTTTATATATCAATATATGAAGCTTGCATACAACTGTAATTAGTAATTAGATAAAAAAAAATTACTTCTGTTTATTTGTCTCTCTCGTCTCCCTTTCTCGTGAATGAATAACCCCCTCTTTCGTCGTGCAATTTCTCCTATGCCACCAGCCATTGCCTCTTTCGTCAAGTCTATATTCGGTTTCATAATCTGGTTTATGCAGATTATGAACAAATACACAAGCACGATTTTGTAATCTCTTAGCATTTGTTGTAATCTATTAGCATCCTTATGCTGATGCATCTGGTTTCATCAAATYTTGTTTATGCATATTATGAACAACTTCTTCCATATGAATTTACGTGATGCATCTGATTTCATCTTCCAGGTTTATGCAGATTATGAACAACTTATTCCATAACCAAATACGTGATGAATCTGGTTTCATCGTTCTGTCAGATGCAGGTTATGAAGAAGTTCTTCCATATGCATCTTCGTGCAATCATATACACAATTAACCATAACAAAACATATCTTGCAGATTTTTTAATAATCTGCATTATGAATAAGAAACATACATCGTCTTTCGGGTTTCATTACAGATTTMYATTAATCCTTATGAATARTCTGCATTTGATTACTATAACAAAACAGATTTTTGACACCACATCATCTTTCGGRTTTCATTACAGATTTACATATCTTGCACCACTTACTATAACAAAACAGTACCTTCATTTTCATTACTCAAAGACGGAACATCATCATCGTCAAASTCAKSAGAAACTCCGTCCGTAATCGAGTCACTACGCTCAGGTATTGTTTCATTTTGACGAATGCATCCATCATCATCTCTAGCTGAGTAATTGCATTTATCTTGTGTTGTACCATCATTAGAACCGTTACGTTTACCGTTAATGCCATCCATTTCATCAGAAATATCCTTGACGAATGTCTCGTTGAATGAGATGGGATCTATAGGATTATGATGAAATATTATTCTAAAAAATGCTTCCATCGATTCATCATTATTGTTAATAGAAAATTATTATTTAGTAATGTTTTAATTACCATATCAATTTAAGTTATTAATAGAAAATATATGGATTCATAATTAATAGGATATTTATTGATATTATTTAAAAATAATAATTATTATATAAAATTAGCAAATGACAWTATTAACCTTTTCATTTAAAAAACAAATTAAAACAAACAAAATTCATTGATTGGTTGAGAGGGAGGTTGCATGGGTTGTATAAATAGGGAGGGTTGTAAAAGAAATATACCCTATATATATATATATATACATATTCTAATATATATCATAAAAACCATTAATGTAGTTTTCTGACAAGGAATATGGTTTCTTTTTATACATAAATCTGTAACTTTAGGTCCAAAGAAGGTATACTATTATGAGGGTAGGCATTCGTAGTCCCTCAACCGCTTACTGATATGCTTTATCTTATCTAAAGGCATTCTACGATCCTCTTTCCACCCTACTGGCTTTAGGAAACACAATGTCGTTAATAGATGACTGACTGCCCTTCTCGTATTATTGTCCATATGGAATCTAAGTATTATTGTCCATATGGAATCTAATCACGAGTTGAACCATAGATGATTCGATGTTTATTTTAAAGCACATCTCTTAATTTCTTTGTATATTTAACAATATACTGCAAAAGGATCTGATAAATTCCAAGTAGTAATTAGTCCCACCAATCTGGATGAGATGCACCAGATCAATTACCTTTTAAATCAATTTATAGGTGAATATAAGATTAAAAATGATGGATTTAGACATCTTTTCAGGCTTTTTACCATAACTTTTCTTCTTGCATGATCATTGGTCTTAGTTAAGATTAGATAAATAATTAAATAAATACATAATTAAACAAATTTATATTTTATTTTTCGTTTATTTTTCTGTTTCCCTTGTTCTATGGCGGGAAGAAATCCCATTTCGTTCCCAAATCCCTAATCAGAACACTCCACTACAAAGAAATTTACAGAAACATGTACTGGTTCACGGCCAAATCCGTCGTTGTCTCCGGCCCACGGTGGCGGTCTATTGGTCTTCTCATTCGTTCCCCTCTTCCCCGACGTTCTTTCACCTGTCGTCCGTTATCATCGTAACTGTCTCTCCGCCCTCTATCTGTAACTGTTTTTAGTTCCATTTACGTGAAACTTGCATGTAGTTAGCGTACGTAACGTAGGAATGTGACGCAATTTGGTACTCCAGTTTTGTAAATTTATTAATCATTCGGAGACAAACAACATTATTTATTTCCATTATAATGTGCGTGTTGGTCTCCTCTCAAGGCTCTTTCAAGACTCCCAATGGTTTATGTGTTACATAATACCTTTTTTAGCTTGTAATTTTGTAAAGAAGGGAAGAAGCTTCAAACTTTTTGCAATGGATATGATTTTCATGTGCATCTTGTAGCTATTGCACATTAGGTTTTTACTACATTGAAGTAGTTGAACATGTTAACTGTAGCAATATAGCACCTGGGCGAATGGTAGAACTCGAGTCTGGGTCCTAGAACTGGAACTAGAGCAAAATATACAATACGAGAGCTCCAATTCTAACAGGAGAAATTGAGTTCAATGCACCCCGATATTACTTGTAGGTGTAAGAATAGAAATGGTTATCCATAGGAACCATATAATTCAATGGCTATATTGAGTGCTAGTTGTCTTAGTTGACACCTTAGTAAAGGGTAAGAATATTACAAATGCGGTACACTTCATATTCACAAATTATGGATGATGTTAATGTTACCATCGAAGTCCATGACATAAAATTCTTCCATTCTTTTGCCACCTGAATATAGCAGTGTAGTTATGTATTTAGTCTCAGATTTTTTTCTAGTGATTAATTGTTCAATCAATAAAGTATCAGGCCTGTTTTTATCATTTACATATTAACTGCTTCGATCATTCTTTCTGTGTTCTACAATTTTCTGTCTTTGATCACTTAAGTATTTATGATAATTCATAATTGGCAAATCGGCACTGCTTAAGCCATCTCTATACCTAACATCTGGTGTTTTAAATTCTCTAAGAAGCACCAGGCAGCCTAAGCAGATCTATTGCTTCAAAGATAGAAAGACTTTGACAACAAACACCAAAGCAACCAAAAGATTGAAGGAATCAAAGAATATCAACAAGGAGAAAGATTATCCTCATGTTTTGTGGTGGAAGGAGGTATTCTAGTTTTCAAATCAGGCTTACAGTTTTTCTTTAAGCGACATCACAGTATAGCTGCTTATGTTCAAGAGATGGGTTTTTTTACCTTAATTTTTTTATTCATAGCAATTGTATATCTATTATGTTTGCTCTTCAGAAAATGCAGATGTGTAGAAAGACATCTTCTATGCAATTGATAAAGAGACTCACTTACTCTAATCTACTCGGTCTGGATGACAACTTAAGGAATGGGAGGTATGTACTAAAAACACATGCAACTGTTTTTTCGGACATTTACTTGCTAGACTCACATAAACTCAGAACCAATAATGTCCAGTGATAGGATTTCTGTTGAACATAGAACAATGATGTGCTAATGATCAACGCCTAATCTGGCTGTTTACTCTCATGTTTTTTCCTTATTCACATCATTGTTACTCAGAAATACTAAGATACAGCACAAGTTAAAATCCTTTTATTATAACCTCTATGTTCACTTTTTCTTTTGTTTGTTCTCCTTTTGGTCGTTTTTTCTTTCATGAAGTATAAAAGATGGAACACTGAATTGGGAGATACTAAAGTTCAAGTCAAGGTTTCCTCGGGAAGTTTTGCTATGTAGGGTATGTTATAAATTTTTTCACTCCTTCTCAGTTCTCACTGTGCTCAAGGAAAGCACAAATTTTTTTCACCATAAGTGTTTCTCTTAATTGGTGATTGAGATTAAGTACTGAGAATTTCCCATCTTTTTAGGTCGGGGAATTTTATGAAGCCCTAGGATTTGATGCTTGTATTCTTGTGGAATATGCTGGTTTGAATCCTTTTGGTGGTCTTCGTTCAGATAGTGTTCCAAAAGCTGGATGTCCTGTTGTGGTATTGTACATATTTCATTGCTCTCTCTCCGCTTTGTACTGATAAATTTTACTCTCATAGTCACTGTTAAATATTCTCACATAAGTAGCTTACCAGTTGTCGCTCAGTTGTTGGTTGATATTCTTTCACCAGCAAAGAAATGATCTTTTGGGTGCAGTTACTGTGGATTGCTTGAACCTTGTTTCCAATCGTTGACACCCGTTATTTCTTTTTCCTTACAGAATCTCCGTCAAACTTTGGATGATCTGACACGTAATGGATTTTCAGTAGTAAGTGCTTTGAGTATTGATGCTGTCGGTATAGCCTGCCAACAGGCCAATGTTGGACACAACTTATTTTACATGTTTGGTTTTATTAGCACACAATTCTCAATCTGTAGCTACACTGTGTATATACATACTTCTCAGTTCATGGGCTGAAAGGAAAACACTGTCGCCATGCTTACTCTTGGAAGTCTAGTTGATATTTAACTGAATTTTTGCTGTTAATTGCACAGCTTGGTGACATTTTACAACATGTAATTGTTAGGTTATTAATGGGACCAAGATTCTTAAGGTTTCTAATTCAGTTTTTTATTTGCTTCCTCACGTGCATGATTTGAGGATGGAAGTTGTATTCAGGCTTGCCAAGTCATATTACTACCTGTATGGTTCAGACTTGGGCTTGTAATCTCATAAAGTAGATACTTGTTGTCAATCTTTCTATTTCTAAATGACTTTTAAATAGGTCTTTTTACGGATAAAATCCACCTAGTGCAACAGAAACTATGTTTTAGTGTGACGAGATTGTTCAGTTAGTAAAATGCATGTTGCTTTTAATTGTATTTCCCTAGAGCTAGAAGACATAGTTATTATTGCAAGTTGCACTTGTTCCTTTTCAATAAGATGAAGTTTGAGATGAATTAGTTTCTTAATGTTTGTGTTTGCAGTGCATTGTGGAGGAAATTCAGGGTCCTATCCAAGCTCGTTCCCGTAAAAGTCGTTTTATATCTGGGTACGTTAGTACCTCAGTCTTGCAACTTGCCTCTTGAGTCTTGTAAATTGCCTTTGCATTCAGACTTGTTTTATTTTATGGATTATTTCCACCCATGTGCATGCTTTCATCTCTTATAAGGAATATTAATACTGGAAGCTAATCTCCATAAATCAAGTCGGGAATTTTCATGGTCTGATGTCCTTAATTTGTTCCATCTAAAATGATATTCTGCGTTGCATGTAGTGTATATGTTAATGTTATTTATTTTTAAGGGATAGTTAGTGGCCTAGTACAACCGACAACAGTAAACTGATTGCAATAAGTATCCATCAGACTTGGTGCACTAAAAGAATTACAAGCCATACCAACTTATATATCACTAATAGCATGAAACCTAAGCAGACTAGTGCATAAGGCTCCTGTTGATTTTGGATGCTACGCAAATTAACAGGAACAGGGGAAGATAGTGGCATTTTGCCACGATCGCAGCCGTGATTGCGTGGCACAATTGCATAGGACAGATCGAAGCCATGATCGCGTGGCACACTTTTTAACTACTTGAGAAAGAATAGGTCTACTTATTTAAATTAATGTGCAATCTAATTATACGATTCTCTGACCCTAAGTATAATGTACAACTACTTACAGCCTTCTACACATTACTATCTCATAATCTGGATGATTACCAAGCAGATAGTACTGAGGATAGTCGGAAAACAGGCATTCAAAATTTGAGTAGTTTAGAAATCGATAAACCTGAAGGAGTATATGGGTGCTCAGAATTGGTAGAATTAAATGCCAGGAATTGTAACTGATGTCGGAAGTAATCAGGTCATCTGTTAAACTACTCGATTTTCCAAGCTTTTGATTCTTCTAAAGCAATTAGCTATTTTTGTGACATAGACACAATACATATTAAGGTGTACACATAATCTTTACATGTGTGTGTGTCTGTGTATATCTATATATATGTATTTAGAAATGTAGGTATATGTAATTAAGAATACACCAGCGAAATAGCAGAATTGATCACTTGGTGCCCTCTGGCTCTCTACCATCATTTAAAGAATAATAAAAAGCTATAATAACAAGTAGGGGTAGGACATGAATGTGATTCCCTTTCTAAGTATAAGGTTGGAGTAGCTTTATCCCAAACAAACATCAAAAGCGAAATCAGATGAAAAAGATGACAATCCCAAAAAGAAAGAAAGGAGGGAACCCCCATGATACATCATCATTTCTAGGAGAACAACAAGGCCCGTATTTTCATATTTAAGCAAATGCAAACAAAATGGAAGATTGTGCCAAGACTCTATCACCCTGTTATCCTTGTTAACACGAGCCTAGAAGCTAGTTTGTTTGCTAGATATACTAATGATACTGTCAACTGGAAGCAGGGCTTTAATATTAGCAATATTAACAGCTATAATACGATGACCCAGATGGAAATCAAAAAGGAAAATAGCAGTTTTGCACCACGTAAGTTTTGCACAACGAAAGTTGACATGGATGAAGGATGAAACTATAGTTTTTATGCGACCACGGAAGTTATTAGCTGTTTTGATTAACCATTAAAAGTACATTATTTTTTAGCAACTTCATGATACTTTCTTCTTACCATCAAGAAGGGGATGAAACTTGAAAGTTTCATCGAAATGCAGGTAAGGAGGGTCTTATGATTAGGATAACTGGTGTCAGTTTTAATGGACAAGGGTACCTAGGGAATTACAGGTAGCCAAAAGTATCTTTGCTTTTCCAGATTTACCACTTTTAACCTCTTAAATATGACCCCTCAGTTTTGCAGGGGTAAATCTTTGGATGATTCAAACCAAGAAAATGATTATCATGCAGTAAAGGAGGGTCTTACAATTAGGATAATTGGTGTCTGTTTTAATGGACAAGGCTACCTAGGGAATTACAGGTAGCCGAAAGTATCTTTGCTTTTCCAGATTCCCTCAAATATGACCCCTGAGTTTTGCAGGGGTAAATCTCTAGATGATTTAAACCAAAAAAATGATTCACAACATAATCTTTATAAAAGTTAAACCCCATATTCTGACTCTGTCGCTCTCTGTTCCCATGACTTCGGCTTCAACAATGGATATGTATGCATTTGGTGACAACTATTCGAAGGCTCAGGTCATTTATTGTCTTCTAAACAGAACATGCATTTTACTCTGGATATTTTAATCTGCACAGGCACGCACATCCTGGAAGTCCTTATGTTTTCGGACTTGTTGAAGACGATCATGATTTTGAGTTTCCAGAACCAATGCCAGTTATTGGTATGTAAAAATCACTTGATTGATTATCTTATTCTCTAGTCAATCCCTGTGCCGCTTGATTGTTTGAACTTTCAAATATTTATGGGTATGCTTCCGCTTCTTGATTTTCTATTACTTAATTATCTGTTACTTCTCCAGGAGTCTCTCGCTCTGCAAGTGGGTATTGCATTGTCTCCGTGCTGGAGACTATGAAAACGTACTCTTCGGAGGATGGTCTAACTGAAGAGGCTGTAGTTACAAAACTTCGTACTTGTCATTACCATCATTTATTTCTCCATAAATCATTGAAGAACAATTCCTCAGGTAAGCAATACTTTTTATTACCGAGTACTGATTAAAGGGTAGGATCATCACCTATGTCATGCATTTGCGAGATAACAACACAACTTTTAGGAGTTATATTTTACCCATTGCAAGGATGGAGGTTTGATGCTTCTACATTAACACTTCTTGCATGTTGCTTTCAAGTTTTTAGTTGCTTAGAGGAGAGTGTCTTTTGCTTCTCTTATTTGTGACTGAACTTCGGCAAACTCCTGCTTGCTTCGCTTGATTGATTTTACCACAACTATCTTTACAATTTATTCTGTGTATAATTTTAAAACATCATCAATTGACCCTGCATGTTGCTATAATATTTTTAACAGGGACAACTCGCTGGGCAGAGTTTGGTGAAGGTGGGTTATTGTGGGGAGAGTGTAATGGCAGACACTTTGAATGGATTGAAGGGAATATCATCAACGAGATGCTATTTAAGGTTTTATGTTTCTAATTTCTCTGTATAAATGTATAAACGTATCTTGTAACATCATCAATGTTACTGAAGTATTTTCTCTGTCCAAAAGAGGCATGTGCTTTTCACCCTTCAAATGTCAAATGGACTACTTTTTAACTTCAAAAATTGACAGGGATGTACTTGATGTTGAAGATTTTGTCTTTTTAATCACTCAAGAAGTACTGCAATAGAGCAAAATCATGTTAAACATGTAAAGAATTCAAATGTTTTTCAGTTTGGGAAGCCTTGGCTTGACATTCCACATCTAAAGAGGCCCTATTTTGGCATGTATGGAATACTATCTTACAATTGATGTTGCAACTTTCAGGTAAAAGAGCTTTATGGTCTTGATGATGAAGTCACATTTAGGAACGTAACCATTGCTTCAGAAAAAAAACCTCATCCCTTGCACCTTGGAACAGCCTCACAAATTGGTCAGTTATCATCTCTTTAGCTTCCGATTTTCTCTATTTGGAACTAGTAATGCATTATAAACTACTGTCCACTACCAGGTGCCATACCAACTGAAGGAGTACCTTTTTTATTAAAGATTTTGGTCCCCTCCAATTGCACTGGATTGCCTGCTATGTAAGTGAAGAGTTTTGTTGCTTTTAAACCTTCAACTCAGAAGTTCTATGTTATGAATTTCATAGGTGAGAAACTCGTGCATTTTTATTTGTTGAGCATTTCATGTATTAATCATAATAACGAAAGATAGGAAATAAAAAGATGAAAGTACGGAATATAAAAGCAAAGCAGAAACCTTTAGGATCTTGGAAGACTTACCAATTACTATGGATATGTAAATTGACCAGGTTTAGTTGTTTCTCAAGAAAAATTACACAGACTATCCCAAAGTGCATATAACAGTAAATTTCTTGGATGCCAGAAAATATCCTCATAAAACTCCTGGAGACTATACTGGGTCAATACTCAAGTGTAAGAGGAGGACACATCCAACATCATCATGAAATTCATGATTTTTTAACTTGCCTTGTTTCTATACCAACTTCACATCCTTGATCAAGTCCTCTCATTGGCTGTATTATACTTGTTAGAAGTTAGAAGTATATTAGATTGGGCTTATTAGTGTACACTTGGTGATAGGTTTTGTCACTGTTTTAGTCTAACTTTATTGGTCCACCATTACATCACATATTCATAGTATTTTATTATTATACAAACCATCTTGAAACCATAATTTGTATCGGTACTTAGAAACTTTTTTTATGTGTCTTTTAAAAATCTTCCACAAGCATGTCCCATGGGGCAGCCAACAGGAAAAAGAAAAAGGTTAGTAAGGGATGGACATATCTTTATTCTTGTATTCAGCATAACCTGTGTAAAGGACACTCTAAGTGATGAAGCCTTGTAGAAAGCATTCTGTCATGTTTTATTGCTTCCATTTTTCAATAAATTTATTTGCTTATATATTATGTTATTCGTATTTTGGTAACAGCTATATCAGAGATCTACTTCTGAACCCTCCTGCTTATGCAACTGCATCTACCATTCAAGGTGAGTCCTAGTATTACTCATTGATAACTAAAAGTGTAAGTTAGAGTGAGATGCTGATTCTTATATGGTAGAAGAGTTGATTCTCCGTTGTTCCCGAAATATGTGGCTTTATTTAACTTAGGATTCGTATGACACAAGCTACCAAATAAAAGATTCTGCAAAGTCAATACATTCAGAATTTCTATTTCCGTAGGGAAAGTGGGAAGAGTCAAACCTCTTTTAAATTTATGTTCTTTTGAGCATTTAGAAGTTGACATTAGGCACTTATGACATTTCTAATGTGTACTTATTTGACATTTGTGATTTAAGAAACGCTGTTTATAGGAAACTGTTTGTCAAAATATGTTTTCGTTCTTTATGAAATTTGACTTTCATGTCTATACATATAGAGGTCTTCATTCCTTTTCTGTTGTGGATGTGCATTTATCTCATTCTTTCATACATATTCTGAATTAGGATATTTTCCGTAAACTAATTCTTTCGCTTCTTAAACAATTTCCAGCAATATGCAAGTTAATGAGCAATATATCATGCTCAATTCCTGAGTTTACTTGCATCTCACCATCAAAGGTAATGCAATTCATTTATCAGTCACAAATTGGTTAAAGACATGAGCATACAATTTATTTTTTGTCTATTAAAGATTCCTTTATTTCTGACTTATGTGATTTGTTGTCTAGTATGTTTGATGTTTCTTATTCATGTTTAGCATTCATGGGTCCCCAATCTTGCAGCTAGTGAAACTACTTGAGTTAAGAGAGGCAAATCATGTTGAGTTTTGCAAGATCAAAAGCGTGCTTGATGAAATCTTGCAGCTCCATAAAAACTCTGAGCTCAATGAGATATTGAGATTATTAGTAGATCCTACTTGGGTGGCAACCGGGTTAAAATTTGACATTGAGATACTGGTAAGTGGTTAAAATTCCTTAAGCCATATTTTAGTAGTTCTTTTGAAGGCTTTGATAATCAAGATATATGAGATGTAAATTATGAGAAACTTTTGCTTGGATTAGTTCTTTTAGAAAGAAATGATAGCCTTCTAGATAAGCATATCTTACCTTTGGCTCTTGTATACATCTCGTCATCATTCTTAATTGACACATGAGCCTCCTCTGTTTGTTATTGTTTATTTCCAGGTGAATGAATGTGAATCCATCTCTCATACAATTGGTGAACTTATCTCTTTAGATGGTGAAAGTGATCAGAAATTGAGCTCGTATGTGAATATACCAAATGATTTTTTTGAGGAGATGGAGTCTTCTTGGAAGAGTCGTGTGAAGAAGATCCATCTAAAAGAAGCTTACGAAGAGGTGGATAAGGCGGCTGAAGCCTTATCCTTAGCGGTAAAATTTTCTTGTCTTTCATCTTTCTTTTAAAAGGCATGTCCTCTCAAGCATTGGATGCTATCTTTGTAGTTCTTATCACATGGTTCACCAGGGATGTTGCCATGACAAGTTTGTTTCATATTAGAATTTTTCGTTGGATGTATATTGTTCTTGATGTATTCGATAACGAGATCTGACTGCCTTTGAAACTAGATACTATTTCAAGAATATAGATGCCTGTGGACTGAGTGAAAGCTTAAGTAATTGGTTGTTCTGCTTGTCATATGGAAAAGATAGAATGACAGTAGGAATACTGGATACCAGTGTAGACTTTGGTTTCCAAGCTTTGATTTAGCAGCATATATGATTACATAAGAACCTCTCTGATTTTTGAGTGAACAAACGTACAAATAGAAGTCTTTTAGTATTTTTCCTTACAGTTTCCAGGAATTTGATAAGGTTGTGGTTGCTACGAGGGTGTGAGTAGGATTGGGAGGTTGAGCACTTAAAAGGGACGTGGGAAAGGGTTGGGGAGCAATGGTAGAACATGTTGGCTATACAAACTCATCGAAATTGGTCATGCTCTTGGGCTCACCGATATATATGGTAGCCAAGTTATGTATAGAAGTGATAGACCAAAAAGGAAATAATAATATTTAAAAAACAAAAAGAAACAAAAGGGCAGATCACTGAGCTAAACTGTGGTCAGAGTGCTCCCCCACAAGTATGTACATGAATCCTCACCTGAAAGGAGCAGATTCTCCAGCATATTCTGATTTTGTTTATGTGGAACCTGGTTTCCTTACCCTTCTAATTTGTTTTTGCATTTAGGCTTACAACCTAACTTTGCGGTGATTGCATGAATATGCATGTTCCTATTAAGAAAATGTAATATTACTGCATTGGGAAATGTTTCTGTACAAAATTATTATTGTAACAAATGATAAATCTTATACGCCCTCATCTCTAATGGAGTCAAACATAACACTCACTTCATGAGAAAAGCACTCAATGTAGTTGATAAAGTTTTTTGACTAAACTTACTATTAAAGACACAATCATGGAAAAACAACGTGCTCACATGTGGCAAAGGGAATAAATGTTTGCCTGTCTGTAGATTAGATCAAAACAAAAAAAAGCATGGTAACAAGTTAATATGCTTTTAGCTTATCTATCCTTTTCTTCATATGAGTATCCTCGATTGAAGTGTGCCTATACAAATATTCCCTACAGAACAAGAAAGATGGTAGTGAATTAACAGGTGTCTACTCTTCTAGGTTACAGAAGATTTACTTCCTATAATTTTCAGAATAAAAGCTACCACGGCACCATTTGGAGGACCAAAGGGAGAAATCTTGTATGCACGGGAACACAGAGCTATTTGGTTCAAGGGAAAACGTTTTACACCATCTGTATGGGCTGGTACACCTGGAGAAGAACAAATTAAACAACTCAGGCCCTCTATAGATTCAAAGGGTAGAAAGGTTGGTGAGGAGTGGTTTACCACAGTGAAGGTGGAGGATGCGCTCACAAGGTTAATCTTTTTGTTTATGACATTAATATTACCCTATCCCTACAGACCCTACTACATCACTTACATTTGCTAGCTTGAGATTTTTGGTCTACGTCATGCTTTTATTGTTCTTGCTTGGTTAAATCATTCTTCATGTTGTTTACCGTGCTTACTTGCTCTACTTTTCCACGCCTCTCTTCCTTTCCCAGCATTGTCTCAAGCTCTTGATTAATTCTTCAAAACATCATTTCTTGCAATTTTTTAGACATTCTTTAGGGTTGCTTAAGACCCCCCCCCCCCCTTTTGAAAAATCTATTCTGCAAACTCTTTAGCAAGCCGAGGGTCTTCACGGAAACAGTCTCTCTACTCCTTGAGGTAGAGGAAAAGATCTGCGGCTCTGCACACACCTTATCCTCCCCAGACCCTACTCCATGTGGGATTTACTGGGTTTATTTGGTTTGGTTTGTTTCAGGTACCATGATGCTGGTGCGAAGGCAAAGTCGATGGTCTTAGAGTTGTTGAGGGGATTATCTGCTGAGTTGCAAGCTAAAATCAATGTTCTCGTCTTTGCCTCCATGTTGCTTGTCATTGCAAAGGCATTATTTGCACATGTGAGGTAGGCTAATTCTAAAAGCTTGACAGTTGTATCTAAAAGTTGATTGAGTTCCTTTTAGGTTGCTTGCATTTCTGTTACTCCGTAATGAATGGCAGGAGATGAGAGTGTTGGTGGGAAGAAGCTTCAAATGTTCCCTGAATTCACAATCACTGAGCTATGTTTCTTAATTGAGTAGTCTCTGTCTTTGGTTCCTATTGTGGCATGAGGCACGTTGGAGTGCAAATTTACTGACAAAATTACGATAATCACTACTAACCCCTCCCTAAAAGAACGGACGTAAGAAACGACATTACTTGGTTTGTTAGCATAAACAACAGAAAGGAATCTCCAATGTGAAGTCTCTTGCCATCAAGAAAAAAAAGTCAATCATGTCAGGTCTGAAGTGTCGCTTATTATGGGTTATCATAAAGTGAAATACAATAAGTGCACCAAGTTTCAAGTTCCAATTGGTTTATTTTATCGTGTTTTATGCTAATTTTATTCCGTTTCTTCTCATTATTGAAAGGTGTCGTACAAGAAAATTCTAACATCTTGTAGTTCACTCTGCCATAACTGCTTATTTATTATCTGAAGATACATCAGCTAAATGTTATATATAATTTCAACAGTGAGGGCAGAAGAAGGAAATGGGTGTTCCCCACTCTCATTCAGTCTTCCGAGGTACATTTCAATTCACCATCTGTTGCATATTATCCGTTACTTTTTGGGCACACAATTTATGTCATTTATTGAAAAACACAACTCATTCTTGTTTCTTTTCGCCCAAATTGTTTTTTTTGACATGTCAAACTGATTGTTAATGCATTTGAATATGACATATGTGGATATAAGCTCTTAGGATTCCTATGAAGCATAAACATTCTTTCAGAGTTGAAGTTTAAGGAGAAACCATCCAATTTGTCCTTGGAGAGGTCTGTGGACTTTGAAAGGTATTGAGATTTCTGTGTTGTATTTCAGTGTATAAAACCAATTTATAAAGGGGCTATATATAGCCAGGATGTATACAT